TAACCTCCTGCATAACAATGTCCATGAGAAACATTTCCTCTCAGTTCCACTGAGGTAAGTCTCTGTCTTTCTGATGCTGTGTGAGACTGTCTTTTCTGGAGTCATAAATATGTTACAGCTGGGTGTGAAGCTACTGGTCTGAAAAGGCACAAATCTCAGCAGCAGCAGCATCTGTTGTTGAGCACCAGTTTTCTGTTCTCTGCTCTCTACATCGGTTTACAGTAGACTGTTACGACATTCCTTCTCTTCAAGTGCTGCACAGATTTCTAAAAGGTCACAAAGAGTTTGTGGATGGGCAAGGAGGTTGACAGAAAATATGGCTGAAGAACACTGTTAGAGGTTTTCTAAGGTACTGAATTTCCCTGGGGTGCTGGTTTCCAGAGCAGCCAGCCCAGCTGAGTTCTGTGGGGTGCCTGAGTGAGAGGGTCCAATTGAGAGGGAGGTTGGGCTCTCTACTCCAGGTGAAAGAAACTTGCAAAAGACGGAAAACACAACTCAAACTTCAACCTCATTGCTTTTTAAGGGCCGGATACACTGCTTTGATCTTTTACAGTCTAATATGGAAGAGATACTTAGTCTTATGTTACTTCTGTCCTCCCTTTTTCTCCCTGCCTCTCTCTCCCCCTTCAGAGCTCTATGCCTCTTTTCAAGAGAAGAGAAAAAAAAGGTGACAGGTGTAACTCTAATAGGATAAGCAAGTTCTGTATTGAGAAACAGTCGATCAAAGCGAACCTCCATGCCAAAAACATGAGGAAAGCTGCTGTAGGAGCATGTGAGATGCTGAGATCACATGGAGGAAGTACCACCCAAAGCTGATCTTGCACTCTTCTGTCAGCATCAGACACTACAGCTGTTAGCAGGTGGGCTTCAGTGAGGCAATACTGCTGCTCCTGTGTCTGCTCAGATGCAAGACGGTAAGTATCCAAATAATTTGTTCTCTTTCAAATGAAAGAGAAATTCAGCAGGTTTACAGTCCAGTTCTTAAAAAGAGAAGAAAAAAAAAAGAAACCCACAAACAACTGTGTGTGAGCTTTTGAAGTTCTGCCATTAGTAGTAAAACTTAAGAGCTGTTTCAGGCTGTTAGTTTTACAGAGAAATACCTGATCTATTCATAAAACTGTTAGTCACAGTGTGTAATTTGTGGTGATACTTACTAGAAATTATAAAAACGTACTCCTTTTTTTGCAAGTAATGTAGTTTAATTGTTGCAAATCTGGATAGGCCTTGTTGCTTCACATAATGTCATTTCATCTATCCATTCATTGTGTTCTTGTGAAATAGCAAGTAAAATGCTGGATTCTAGTGCAGCTAACTGTAATACTTCCTATACAATGATTTTTTTCTCAGTTTGGCCCTATTTATAGTTCTTGCCCAGTGCCGGGGCCACCTTTTAAAAATATTTTTTTAAGACAAGCAATCAACTGAAATATAAATTTCTCTCAGCTACCCTAAGTGACTCTGAAAGCAATTGCATTTGCTTGGTTTGTCCTTTGTTTTCTCCTTCAATTTACCTTAGCTTGTGGCTCACACAATCAGTGGCTGTAGCAATATCATCTAGTTTTATTGAAATACTGTTTGCATTTGGCTCCTACACTTTAGAACTATGATAACGTAATAGCTGTTCAAGAGAGGAATATGGTAATGTGGGTAAAACAAATTTGGTTTCCAATATCCAACACTTTCATTTATCTGTCGAATCGGAAAATTCTGATCCTTTTGCAAAACAGTAGTTTTACAGAGTACATTTGTGAAAACCTTCTTCTGAACAAAATTCAATGCCAGTGTTTTCTTTTGCCGTGCAACAGTCGCATTCTGCTATCCCTCTTTACAGCTTCGAGTAAAAGCTGTGTAAATAATTTCTTGTAAGTAAGCAAGGGCAGTCATAAACGCAGGAAGAGATTCTTACTCGTAGCTAATTCTCATTAGCAAATAATAATTTTATCTCTTTCCCATATTGCATTAATTGATCCAGACTGCAAAGCCTTCTGTAGAAGAATCCTTAACACACACTAGACTGTTTAGAAAACGTGTTTTACTTCGCGAAGTCAAATACGAATTAGTTCTATCAAAAGGCGCTTTCCCCATTGCGTTACGAGCAGAGTATCTGGTGTTTCAAAGCAGATGTCTCGGTAGGTTTTGACGAACCGCGCGGCTCCTTGGGCGCGCAGTGGGCGGCGGCGGGAGCCGGCGGGGCAGCAGCGGCGTTTCCCGGCGCGGTCGGAGGCGATGCCGGCGCGGTGCCGTGCGCGGCCGGCCCGGAGGGTGGCACTGGCCCTCCACGCACCGCCCGCCGCCCGGAGAGCCACGGCCGGCCCGCTCCCGGGCAGCGCCCTCGGTCATGTTTCTGTCAAAATATTGGCACCGCTTCTGCCAGTGCCTCCCGAATGGTTTCGGTGCGATAGACGCAGTGCTGCTCGCCCGGGGGTGAGTAAACAAACCCCAGCCTGCTCTCTGCGTTTCCCTTACCTGGAGATGGGCTGGAGGGACTCCTACCGCCCCTGGGTGTGAGCCTGTCGATTTCTGACTGGGATAAGATTGGGAGCTGGGCCATGGGTTACTAAGGGCGATACACAAGAAAAGCCAGGTTTGGAAACCTCTCTTCTAGGTGACAGAATCCTCTTTTATCTCCGTTTCCCACCCACTCCCGTGTGGAAGTGTCCATAGGTGCATTTGCAACTTCCACTAGCCTACTCAAAAACAAATTGCAGAGCTTAAATATGATTGTCACCAAAACTATTTTGCTGCTATTCTACTTGGCTGCAGGTCATCTTGATCTGTTGTGTGTGTTCAGCTACTCAGTTAACAGGACTATGGACAATAGCTGTGTACAGAGAGAAAGTAAATGGGCCAGGGAAAGCGGTGAAAACGTCACAGATTTTTCTCATGTGCTCTGGAGGGACAATGACAATGGTATAGAATAAAGAAATCCCACGTCTTCAAGGAAACTTGAAGAATTTATGTTAAAGCTTTGGGCACTCAGCTTTGACCTTGCTGTTTATCTTTGAATGACAAAATCTTAAGAACAAAAACAAACAGTAACTCTTTAAGGAAGGACCTAGTTTAAGCCCCCAGTTCTGATCGTAGGATTGCATTGTCAAGTCGAGGAATTAGTTAATTCTGAAAGAGGAAAAATGTTTTCCTTTCTTAATTTACATTTTTAAAACATGTTTGTTTGTTTTCCTGCTCAGCTCCCCACGCCTTGTAAATTGTGAATTTCTCTTTTGGCTATGCATGATAAGGAAACCAGTTTCATTCTACAAGTGTGTTAATCATCCTGTAGCTTAAAAATATCAAAGTGTAAACGCCGTAGTTTCTAAAGGGGTTGATCTTAAAATAATTACAGTGATCTGACCGTTGCAGCTCTTTCATTTTAAAAAATGAACTGTGGGTTTAATGTAACTTACTGTTGCTTCACCCCAAAATGAGCAGCGGGGTGAAAAATAAGTTTTGATGGTGTAATTTGGTGGCGATTGCATTGGATTGTTACTGGTTTGGAAGATCTCAATACTCTGATTACAACCCCGAGTATGCTGCTGTTAAGAGCTGGGTAAAATAGACAGGGGAAAGAGTATTTTAGGGACCGAGGCGTGCTGAGTTGCGCCAATGAATTATTTCACTGCTGGGCTGTCAGGGTTAAAGGCTGATTGCACGAAGCTGGAATAAGCCCTGCGCTCCGGGCGCTGAGACAGTAGCGAGGTTTGGCCACAGGAGGCACAGCCGGTGTGCGCTGCACGGAGCTTTCCCTAATCCCGGCGGGGCTGGGCATGGGGAGATGCAGATCAGCTCCGGGCCGTGTCCTTCTCTCCCCACCCCCCCGGCCCGTCCCAGCTTTTGCTAACCCTTCTTGTCTTCTGATTGCATTGATCCTCTGAGAGGGCGCGCTTCTGCCTGGGCAGGGCAGCGTCAGTATTAAGAGATCAGAGCTGGCTTTCTCCCAGCCTACGTGAATGGATTTGGTGTCAAGGGCAAGGAAAGGCAGCTGCTGCTGCCCCAGAGCACCACCCACCCACCTGTTCGCTAGGGAAAGTGTTACTGGCCCCAGGTGAGGCTCCTGCTTTCACACTAAGTCCCCAGAGCACAGAAACCCTAAACACGCTCCCTCAGGCCCCAAACGTAGCTCCTGCCAGAGCTGTACTTACCCGAAGCACCACTGAAGTTTCTTCCCTTCAGATTACGAGTGACTCTCTTAAATTCCCAAGCAGGACCCACAATTTAACTTCTCATTTCGGGGAAGCTTAAATTAGAATGTCATCTGATAAGGCACAGTTCCCACATCCACTGTCTTATGACAGCGACACATATTTAATGAACAGTGGTTACAGAGAGTACAGTAAGTGTCCCTGGAATAATAAGGGATATTGCATCGCTTCTGAGGGCAAAAGAGAAACAAGAAATAAGCAGTTTCTGGCTTTCAGGAATTTAGATTCCTATTTCAAACTTAATTTAATTCTTATGGAGAGAGTCCCTGTAGGAGCAGCCAAAGTTTAATCAGTAACACAACAGCGATTTAACTCAATTCTCAGTATCTTAGTCATATGGAGAAGCTGCTGCAACTGATTAGAAAGCCCATTTCATTGAAATATTGCATGGAAGCATGAAAATTCCAGTGAGGAAAGGCAACAGTCACTTCATCATTCTAGATCCCATGTTAACGCATCACCAGCTCTCCCATTCAAAGCCTTTTTAGAGAAATTTAATAGTTGGGGCACTAATAACCACCCACAACCCTTAATTCCGAGTGATTATTCTGAGCACAAATTAACAGATCTGGGCCATTACTACCACGAACTGAATCATTCAGAGGGGTGGGAGGGAAGAAAAAGGGCAATACTCCATGGGAATGCCTCAGGATTAACTGCTTTTGTACATTTCCAAGCACTTTTGTCAATAGCATCCCTTGTGTAATAAATTCCTTTTCTAGTTCCTTTCACACTGTTTATAGGCAGATGACTTAGAAGATTGCAAAATACACTCAAATAAGATTTTCCAAGTTACAAGAATTATTCACTTCAGGTAATTTTATTCTTTATAGCCTCTACATATTTGAATTTTTACTTGATAAATTCATAACAATGTATAAGTAATAAAAAACAACAAAAGCAACACAAATCAAAGCCAGCAAACAGTTGGTCCCCAAAGAATAAAGCAAGCAATCAGTTCAATAAACACACTTGATTTATTTTGTATAAAAAGGGTTAAGTTTACAACTAAACTTTTATAAAAAGTTTAGCATGATTAAGTACATCATTACACTTTTTGCAGAAATGTATATTTCTGCCACTATACAAGAAAACTCTAATTAAAGAGTTCACAAGGTTTCACTCATATATATATATTTATATATAAATATATACACAGCATTCAGTCCTAGGTTTGTGTCAAAAAGGTAATTTCTGACCACAGACTTTCCTAAAAAACTGAACACTGGATCCTTCTGGTACTCACGCTCCACCTTTGGAAAAAAAGGCAAAGTCTGCTTTAAAATGGGCAACTCCTTGTGAGATTTTTGTTTCGCTCCCCACGTTGGGAATAGTATATAAAGGAAGCCTTCCAACTAGGGAAAGGGTATTTAAGAGTCTCTTCATAAATAACTAGGTTCAGTCCAAGTTGAAAAATGGGGTGGGGATAAAGATCAATCTTGATTTTTTCTTCTTTATTCATTTTAAAAGGTCCTTTTACTTGAACGTGGATTTCCCCCTCCAGATACAGCTGAAAAATAAATTCAGCACCTTAAAAAAAAAAAAAAAATCCTGTAGACATTTTCTTGTGCAAAAGAAAAAAAAAAAAATCTCATCAGTGGAACACCTGCAAGAGATTGAAAAGAGGCATATTTAGGAGAATGCTAACAGGGCAGAGATCCGGACAGACTGGCGCCAGAGAGGAAGCCACAGTTTGAACATTTAACCAAACACTCAGAGATTGGGCAAACCCTGGCGTCCAGATGCAACACATACACGCTCACACACTTGCTCTCAAGAGCACAAATTGAACATAAAAATAACATACACTCCAGGGAAAGGCTAGAAAGAGGATTCTCAGTCCAATCTTTATTTAGATCTCTGTAAACGCAGTGTTCAGAGGCGCCAGTCTGCCTCTTAGAGCAATTATTTGATTAAAAGCAGTCACTTATTTAACTGATAGCGCAGACAATCCCACATCACAGAATTCAAGGAATTGTGCCAAGATTCCCAACTTAATCAGTCACTTTGGCCCAGGAGGTTAAGGCTCCAAGAACAGATAAGAATTTGCATTAAGCAGCGAGCAGGATCAGAGGAGCCTGTGCTGCTGGGTGAACCTTAGCGACACACACACACTTAGGACCTCAAGACTCACTTATTACTCTCATTTCTTACTGATTACAAAGGCATTTCCTAATCAACTTTTAAGACCTATTTTTAGCACTTGCCATCACACCTCGCATTCCTCGGGGAAGCAGTTTTTACCCGAAGTTTAGGAAAAAGGCGCACTGCACTCACCGTTTGATTTAGCCACAAAGTGCTTTGCTGTCGTTTGACATGAGCTCTGAAGGGAACTCGGACGCCTGCGAGAGAACAAGAGCAGGGTAAGGGCGAGGTGGCCGAGCACTCCCAGGGAGGCGGGAGCGGATTGTCCCGGCTCCTGCTGCGCTTCCCCCGTGGCACGTCCGGGTCCAGCCCCGCGGCAGGAGAGGGAGCGCACGGCGGGCGCTGTCACCGCCGGCCGCGCTGGCCACAGCGCCAGCGCCGCCCGAAATCCCCGATCCGGGTCAGCGGCGAGCCGGGGCGCGGGGGAGGCACTTACCTGTAGCGAGAGGATGCTGATGTCTGTGTTGAGCGTAGTCAGAGGAGTCCTGGACGAAGGGTTCTGCCCGGGTCTCTGGTGGTGCAGGCTGACGATGCTGGGGTGCGAGTCCAAGGCGATCTGCAGGTCCAGGATGTAATCGATGACGTGCTGCAAGATTTCCATCTTGCTCACTTTCTTGTTCTGCGGGATGCTGGGCACCAGCTCCTTCAGCTTGGAGTAGCAGTCGTTCATATTGTACAGCAGGCTCATGGGGTCATCCACAGGGGTCTTGCTTCGGGAGATGCCTAGGTTGTGCTCCGAGAGGCCGGTTTTCCTGACGGACCGCACCGGGCTGAAGGCTTTCATGCTGGCAGGCGGACGGAGAGCGCGATTCGGGCGGGCTGGAGCCTGCGGAATGCTGCGCTGCCGCTCTGGCGCTGCCGGAGCTCGCACTGAGGGCCGGTGCTGCGAGGCCGCTCTTATATGGCGGCCGCCGCCGGGCCCGGCCCGCGCTCGCTGCTATTGGCGGCCGCCGGCACGTCCATCACAGCGGGGCGCCCTCACTGGTGGGGCCTTCCGCCCGGGCAGCCAATGGCGGCGGGGGGCGTGGCCGCGCGCACAGCTGAGGGAGTAAATAGTGCCCGGAGCCGCGCGGGCCCGCGCAAGGCTGGGGGTGGCAGCGCCGCGTTCCTGCCGGCCCCCCCCGGCATCGCTGCGGCCCTCGGGCATCCCTCCGTGCCCCTTCTCCTTCCCTGCCCTCCGCCGCACCCTGGTCTCTGCACGGGCTCGTACTCCAGGAGTGCGGTGCTGGATGCGCAGGACCCCCTGCAGCGAGGGGTGGCGAGGGCTGAGCTTTCCACAGGTCACAGTGAACTGGAGCATCCCGGTGTTTGCATGTCCCCGCTTAGCACACGGCAGTGAAAGTCAATGGCCCGGTTTGCAGTCAGCGCTGTAGGCTGTGGCTGTAAGCAGGAATGAAATAAATCAAGATTAAAGCTAAAATAAGCCTATAAACCCCACTGCAACTTTCTGTCCTGGCGAGGACGGGACATTAAGCACCCCACCAGCCAGGCAGGCGTCGCTCCTAGCGCCCTGCTTCCTGAGAACAGGGCTACTTCAGATGATGCTATTAATTGGAGATCATTAAGCAAATCTGCATATTGGAAGTGCATTTACATGTATTACCCTTGAAAGGCTGCTCATCTGCGCCCTATCAGTGCTCGTGACACAGTACTGCCATTAATTATGCATAGATTGTTTCTGGTGACAAATGCAAATGCTTACTACACGCTGTACTTTTAGCAGCTTTTGGTTGCAGCCAATGAGACATCTTCCAGAAACGTGCCAGAGGAAAAACTTTTCGGGGTTTTTCTGTATTGTTTTGTTGAGCAAGAGAAGTGACTGATTTTTTTTTTTTAAGTTTAGTTCTATTGTGTTTTCATATATTTTGCTTGTGCTACAGGCTGTGTAACAAGCGGACAGAGCTTCCACCTTCCATTCCACACACTACCTAAGGAAAGTTCAACTTATAAAAGCGTGAACGTACACACACAACTAATAGAAATGAAATTCTGCACAAATCGCAGCAATTCTCTAATTGTAAAACCACACAGATGCTTAAAGCGCGTTAGTGTTCAGTGCAAACAAAACCGTAGTAAACGCATACATCCATAAAATCAGTGAGGATTGTGCTGCCAATCATAAATATTAAAAGCAGACAAATACTGGATTTATCTACGCGGTTGTTGCATAGCTACACGAAGGGGGTCGGGACTGTGTGAGAGGAACATTACGGACACTTGGAAACAAAGCTGGGAAGAGCCACATTAGTTTTTTTTCCAATTAACGTGGCATTCCTGAGCTGGTGGTTGGGTATTCTTTTAACAGGGCACTTTGGTGACTGTCACACCAGGGTGTTTGCCCCGGGGCTGTTCTGCAGGGTGAACTGGAGGCGGTGCCGAGGCTGACAGGAACACAATTCAACACGTTTTGAAACACGAAGGGTGAAAGTGAATCTCGACATTCAATCTGATAGGAAGATAAGTACGCTGTTCAAGTGCAGTTACAAAGAGTAAATAATAATAAAAAACACCCTGTCAATTAACGACTCACTTAAAATCACGACTTAAGGCGACTTCAGCCTTTATATCTCTAAGATACCAATTGGTGGTGGTACTTGACCTGCGGCCACAGGTTTTGGTCCTGCAATATGCTTGAGTTTCTGTCTAATGAAGACACCAGTGGAAGAAATGTTGAGTGGTTTTGGTATAATAATAGCCAATGTTACTATGCTCATACTTCTCCCATCACTGTTTGTCGTTCTTGGACAGCGGAGCAGTACCGGCCGGCCGGGCGCTGCAGAGCACCCCGTATTACTGCTTTCGGTTTTCCACACCAAGGGCTTAGCACGCTTTTTGGAACACCAGGAAGTTGTGTGGAGAGGCTAACCTGGCTATTTGCTCTGTCATCAAATGACTGTCATGTGCGCGGAGAGCCCGCGAGCAGCCAGGCTGCGCTTCCCCTAAGAGAGCGGCTGAAGTGGCTTTCCCTAACATTTCATTCCCTCAATTCTGCCGTTTTAGCACTGAAAGCTTTGGCAGCGGCTCGCTAGCTTTGGGAGCTCCTGCCCTCTGACACGGGCCCCACGAGCGGTGTCGCAGCCGCGGCGGTCCCGCTGCCCGGGGGGGCTGCGGGGCGGGGGGAGCCCGAAACCAACGAGGGGTAGAGCTGCGAGCTGCTCCTCGGGGGCTTTTCCAGGACCCGTCCCAGGCAGCTCCGAGTGCCTCGGCAGCCGTGCGTCCGCCTCTTAGTTTTCAGCCGCGACTTTTACAGCCTGTTCCCAGCCCCGAAACGCCACCGCCGCCGCCGCATACATCTGGGAGGAACCGCCGCCACTCGAAGCCACGCACAAAGCGCCGCTTTCGCCTCCGCGCCCCCGGGATCACAAACGCGGGGCTGCGCTCCGCGGGCGCGCTGCTCCCCCGCCCCCGCCCGGCGCCGGCCCGCGGCGCGCTGGGTGCGCGGAGCGGCGGCGGGAGCGCGGCCGCCCCGGGGGCGCCGTCCCCCCCCGCGCCCCCGCGCCCCGCCCCGCGCCCGGGGCCGGCCCGGACTGCGCGGCGCCAGCCCCGTGACATCAGCCCCTCGCCGCCGCCCCCCCCGCCCGCGCCGCCCGGGCCCGGCGGCGCCGCTCAGGCGGCTGCCATGGCGACCGGGGCTGCGCCCGCGGCGGCGGCCCGGCCCCGCTTCCCCCTCCCGGGCGCACCTGCAGCGGGGGCCGCCGCCGGACGCCCCGCCATGCCGCGGGGGGAGGATGAGGGAATGTGGGAAGGCGGGGGGGCGCCCGCAGAAAGGAGAGAGGAAAGAGTAAAACGGGGAAAATCGGGGATGGACGAGGGGGAAAAGGTGCTGGCGCCGCTCGGCCACCAGCACGGCTGCCCTGCGGGGCCGGGTTGCCGCGACCCGGGCGGGAAGGAGCGGGCCGCGCTTCCCGGGCTGCGGTGTAGGGAAGAGAGTGGGGGGTTCGGTCCTGCCGCACCCCTTCCCCCTCTCTCCCCCTCAAAAAGTGTATTTTCATGGGTTTTTTTGAAGGCTGCCTGTTCTTTCTCCTCTGAAGGTCTTCTCAGCGCAGCCTCAGGGTCACAGAGTCCCCCCCCGGCCAGGCTGTCCCCGGTGCGTGTGCGGGGCGAGGGGCTCCGAGCAGAGCCTGCGGGGCTGCGCTGCCGCCCCCCTCGGGGACCGGCGCGTTCCTCCGCGGCCCTGTCCCCTGCCTCTAATGAAATCTATCTAAAACATCCACTAATAATGTAAATAGCTTTAATTGCCGAGTATTTAAGCCATCAAACCAGACTACAAAAAAAAAAAAATTCTGTTAAAATTGGCCCGGTTCCAAGTCATTGACACCATCCAGCCTGTCCAAGCGGGGTGTCCAAATATGTTTTGATACAGGAGTTTTCAATGTACCAGGTAAAACATCTCGCTAAACTCGGCCGCTTTTAACTACCCGCTCCCTTTTGTTTGCCTCACGTTTCCAATTCATTCAAAGAAAAGTTGTAGAAGTTTGGGGCTTGGCTTTTTTTTTCTTTCTTTCTTTTGAGCGGGAGAGAGAGTAATGCATGCAAAATATTTAGTTACAACTTCTGCGAAAGGCACCGATCTGTAACAGCATTTCTACTTTCACAAAGGATTTTCCTGTTACTTTTGTTCCGGTCACAAAATTAAAAAAAAAAGAGGCGAAAGAAGAAGAAGGAAAAAAAAAAAACTTGGGGGAGAGATAAGGTCTGGAAAACAATCTGGAATTGCCAGGCTGTTGGTGGGAGCTCTGCGGGGCTGGCGTCAGGAAGTCTGCGCCGCCTTCTATTACTGTTGATCCAGCTTTGTGCAGCTGCACTCAGTACAATTAGCTTGTAGAAACAATCCTGCTGTAGGCAGGCTCTTCCCTTCAAAGTGCTTTTCTATACTGATCCCCTCACATCATGATGCTGGAAATCAAGTCACAAGCCGACCACTGTTTGGCCAACATCATCTGTGGGAATTCATTAACCTCCATCCCAGAGATGCAACAAGAGATTGTTTGTCCAGAACTAAACTTACAGCTTAATATGATGTAGCCCATACAGGAAAAAAACCTGTGTCCTCATTTTTTTCCCCCTTTTTTGTCTTTATTTTTCCTTTTTTTTCCCCTTTCTTTTTTTTTTCTGTCCATAACAAGAAACACATTGTGCAGCTTTTTCTTCTTCTTCTTCTTTTTTTTTTTTTTTTTTTCTTCAGGGCGTGGGGAATGTAGCTGAAACCAGGCATGAGCCGGCTCCTGCTAAAACTTTGCCATCAAACTGTTTTTTGGTTCATCGGGCTGCAGTTTCCATAGAAGCAACTTATCCCCGCGATCATCTTGTCGGGTGCACTTCGCAAGCTCATTTCCCGTCTGAGTTTGCTCCGCTGCTCTCGGATGCTGCAGCTGACACATTTCCTCCCCGTGCACTTTGCACCCACCTCATCCTTGCCCAGATGCTCGGGGCTGATTGTGCCTAAAAGGGGGTTTCAGCACACTCCGCAGCTGCCTTGGGGGAAGGGACTTTTTTTTTTTTTTTTTTTTTTTTTTTTTTTTTTTTTTTTTTTTTTAATTTTCCTTCTACTTCTCCCTATTTCCCACCAAGCCGAGCAGCCTTCCCCGTGCCCCCGGCCCCAAAGCTGCAGACCCAGCTGGCAGGGGCGCGGCTGCGGCCACTGTCCCACGCCTCGCGCGTGTCGTGCGTGCGCTGCCGTGTGCGACAGCAGTCGGTGTCACCCGGCCCCGTTCCCGGCCCCGGCCCCGGCCCCGTTCCCGTTCCCGTCCGGCGGAGCGCGGCTGCCGCGCGTGGGACAGCGCTGTGTGCCCCGGCCGGGGAGCGGGGCCCCGGCGCACCCCGGCTGCGTGGGCAGTCCCGGAGCGGCAGCAGCAGGGTGACATCTCCCTGCTCCCACAGCGGTCTGGGCACAGCTGTGCTGTTGGGAGCGGGATCCCGCTGCCCCTGGCACGGCTCTTCGCGTCCCGCCCCGCCGGCAGCGGCTCTCGGGCAGCAGGGCTGGCAGCACAGATCCCTCGCCTCCAGATCCTTCACTGGGCACGAGAATGCCCTGCCCACCGTTTCCACCCATCCCCCTCTGAAACCCTCCGGGTGCTGCTTCAAGGAACGTATGGATACACCTCTGAGACCCCTTTCCAGACTCCATTCTCTTCTGGGCCGTATTTGTAAATGCCACAGATCTGCCAACTTTTAAGATCTCTTTTCTCCTTTCCTCATTGAGCTTTTGAATAATGTTGCTTTCGCCGAGCATCATTCCCTTCATCCCCGCTTTTAAGCATCCCTCATCTGCTGCTGTTAATCCCAAACCGTTTGTTGTTGGTATGCTTTGGAAGTATTTTGGCAAAACATAAATGTTTTTTCATCCTTTTGAGATATCTCCATTTTAACTAGAAGTGTTGGACTATAGGAAGTGCAGGCCTTAGTTTGGATTCTCTTTTGACATGTGTATCATTTTATTATCATATTCCTAAACTGCTGCTGGGCAGAAAAATGACTTTTACTCAAACTGTGTTTTCCAGCACCACCCTGCATAGATGGGTGTTTCTATGTGAATTGCATGGTTTTGCTGCAACATTTATATCAAATCCAAATTCAGATGCTTTAGTTTTAATGTTTATTTCTGTTTTGTAGGATTTCTCTTTTTTGTAAGTAGGACCTGTGCCCTGAAGGCTTTGCTACATAAACTGCTATCTGCAAAGGGCTATTGCTTACCTGATTCTACTTGAAGAAAATTGCTGTGAAGTCTTTCTGAGAGCAGCATCTCTCTGGCATAGTAAGTTCGACTGATATAAGGTGTATAATCCATGTATTAACTCTTATGTTTTTATTCAAAGCCAAATACATTTCTTTTTAAAAATCTTTAGCTATTTTATTAATGCGACATCTATGTTTTAATTAAGTTACATGTTGTCCTCTTTAAATGCTTATAGTCAACTATTTAGGTGGCTCTCTAATTTAGCATGGTTGTGCTAAAATCTGGGATCAAGCAAGTTCACTTATTAGTGCATGGCTTATGTAGCAGATGGTTTTCATCTAATGTAGCTTTTCTACCTTTAAATTAATGTAGGTCTAAAACGTTGCAGATTTTGCACTCCCCACCAATTCTCTGGAAAATCTATTCAGGATAGAAAAGGGAGAAGGGGCCAGGCAAGAGATCACTGACAGTACCTCACATGCAATAAACCAAGGAGTTAAAAATGGATTTATTCTTTTGTTAATTATCTGGCTGGCAGGTCCAGCTCCCCTCAGTCTCCCACTTTGGCCCAATTTTGATCTTTAGGTCCAGGCCTGTGGGAATAAGATTGCGAAACACTTGGCTTAATTTTGCTGAAAAAAAAGGAGGGATTGGGAATTGGCTTGGTGGGGGAAGATTTTGCAAATCTGTTCCAGTTATGGTTTTAAGCACATACACCCCGCTCCATTCCCCAAACTGTAAAATTATGATATTTTCAAGCATAAACATGTTTATGTAGTATGCTCTGTGTGTTTTGTTTTTCCTCAATAATAATAATGTTTCATGAACATAGAGGAGAAATTGAGTCAGTACTGCAACTGGCATCTAATTGTTGGTCAATCTGGCCTTCAGGAAGAATACTTCAGTTCCATGGTGGAAAGCTTTGTAATATTAAGCAGGCAGTACTAAGTTAACATTTCCAAAGCAATTGCTATAGGTTATGTCAACACAGGACCCACAGCATTCTCAGTCCTTTCTAATTAATGTAGAGAAAAAAAATTTTGCATGGTCAGGAAGGCCTAATTTCACTCAAGGTTTGGGTACTGGAAGTAGTTTAGCAGTTTAACAAAATATGTGCACTGCATCCCAAATGCACGTGCACCCTCATGAGTCCTGTTGAACCACGTGAGTTCTAGTGAAGTTTCCTAGGCTGTTATAAAACTTCGCTTCTTTATTGGCCCAGAATGAGCATTATCTAGGTTAAGCTGACTTTCTTAGTGACTGTCGCCTGCAGAAACCCACCTGGGACACACAAAATAGGTATGTGTCTGAATCTCTGGAGAGGCCTGGTCCAGGAGCTGTGTGCAGGATCATGGTTAAATGCACACTGACAGCATGGAGCTTAGCACAAGGTGCAGCAGCTGGAGCTGCTGGAAAGTTCAGGGGCAAAGAAGGAAAAGAACTGCTGCTTTCTCATAAGCAATTTTTCTCATGAGAGCACTTGTCCTGGAAGTGAGTGATGCAGATTCAATGTTCTCCTCATCAGAGGTGATATAAACTCCCTCCTGCTTGCAAAGCAACCCTAACGACCAGAGATAAGGCTAAGGTGGAGGACACCCACCCATCCTGTTCAAGCTTGCCACAGTAAAGAAGCAGATGCAAATTTCAGAGGGCCAGAGGCATTATAAACAAGAGGGAGCCTAACACTGTAGCTCAGGGGTAAAGGCATCTCCTGGATGGCAAGAAGCCTGAAGTCTGGGCCTGCTGGCCTGGCAGACTCACCCATTCTTGAGGGTGAGGTTCATCTCACCTTATCTTTGCTATTTAGAGGTTTTATGTCTCATCTCTCTATAGTCAGTGGGAAGAGAGAACAAGAGACACCTGCAGAGAGTGATTCATTCTGTGCCCATCTGACACCTCTCTCAGGATGGAGTGAATCTTCTCGCTGGGGGCCCTTGCTCGCCATCAGTTCTCAGCAGGAGCCAGACAACCAATTTCAGCCAGAAGCCTGACTTAGAGATGCCAAGCAAGGTGGATTCCACTGGGGATGACTAATTTTTCTGATTCATCATACCCGAATTTAGTCTTAAAAATTTGGGTATGTAGTCAAAGTTAGATGAGTTCTGTCTCTGTATCATGGTCATTCCTTCCATTGGAAGGCTGGACATGGATAGCTAGGGTGAAATGTCTTGGGATGAAGTATTGCTGAGCCTGTAGAGCCTAAAGGCCGTGTGGCCACGTGTGGCAGGTGTCTGAAATGTAAGTGTGGAACTATTGCATGTCATTTGGTGCACTTCTTTCGTGGATGGTCTGACTTGAAGCACTATACACTGCTTCTAAGGAAGGAGCTCGATGTGTAAAATCTGCATAAAAATTGTTTGAACATATTACAAGGCTACAATTTGGATTTTCAGCTAGCTGAAAGGCTCCATATTTAAATCAAAGAAAGTGAAGTACTATGGAAAATGGACTAAGTGTATACTGCATCTTATGCACTTGAATACTCAGAAAAATCTGTCTCTTAACTTCTAGAATGGAGGTCTAAAAACTGGAAGTTGGATATCTTTAAAAATATCACCTTTAATACTAGCTCCGAAGAGATTAGCCTGTAATTTTCAGCTTCAAAAAGCTATAGTTTTCAAATTTTTGATAATGTGGAATAGTGCTGTGGTGTACTGCAGCATAAATCCCAACTATGTACTTAATTGTTTCATCAGAGATCAGCAAAAGGTCACCCAGCTTTCTTATCAGATTACTGGAGTGCAAGTGTTTTCTGTGCTGGTCTGAGTTTGGTGCACACATATTCTTTGCAAATGGATGATTCCAGGGAAAGACAATTTTAGTTAAAGGTCACCAAAGGCTTATTGTACAGTCATTTTGCAAATTTTAAATTGTAGAAACAATTGTGGAAAGTAAGTGTCCAGTTTGGCAAAATTACAGTAATATGTTCTCCTGATGAGTTTTTAGCTACAAATACAACTGGAAATGATGCCACCACATTGTTCATGTCAATCACTCCATAAAGCTGAATGCCTTCAACTATTCCAAAACACATGGTTGAGAAACCCTTCTACTTCTTTTATCAAAATACGGAGGATATATATTTAAATTTGCCAACATAAAAATTATTTGGAAAGGACTAAAATTATTTAAGGCCTCGAGCTATTGTTTATAGCAGAGACAAGAGATGTTAAAATATTAAAAGGATGCACAAACTTCTTGAAACACTTTGAGCCAGAACAAAAGAGCTCATTTATACCTAGCTGAGCATCTCAGCTGTTCTCCATTGAACAATCAGAATTTGGACTTTTAGCAGTTTCTTTTTTCCTGCCTTATCACTCTGCTTGTTTTCACTTCATTAGTGATAGCTTTGTGTTCCTGATTCCCTTTCACAGGTCTCTTGGCTCCGGAGATGGGATTCACCTCACTTGATTTATGGCATGTGCCTGGTTGATGTCTGCATCTAAGCCTGTCTTTAAAGACTCAGTTTACAGACAATTGAGAAAATCGTTGCTTCTGTCATGATTTATTTCTACCTAATACAGTAGTCTAAAAGCCTAACTCTATCCTTGATACTGTCTTGATTTCTGAGTCCAGCTGTCATTAGCCCAGACAGCTAGACACCCTGGCCTTGATGTAGATGTCCCATGTCAGGGTTGGTTTTCACTCTTTCTTGACAATTGCCCTTTTTTTATTATTATTATTTTATTTTTTTTTTGTGTGTGTGTGGATGTGTGTATGTGACTTGACATGTTTGACAGTGTTAAGAAGAATGAGCAGTGGCTAATAGACTTCGATCAAGAAGCTTTTCTGACTGTGGTTTGGAGGAGTGCTGGGGTTTTACAGTCCACAGTGTGTGGACTAGAACCTCTGGTCTAGATGCTCACAGTTGTGAGTTTTGTGCATTTCTGCCTGTTGTTATTCTGCCTGTTGTTAGCTGTGCAAGCTACACCAGCAGGGCTGCGTATTCCTTTGTGGCATAGATGGGACCTACATGGGGAGGGAGGTTGTCTCTGTGGAAGCCTCACCTCAGCTGTTGTAGAAGGTACCCAAAGAAGGAAGATGCTCCTTAAAACAGCTGAATTATGTCCTGGAGGACTTAATCCATGTCTCTGCCACAAAGTTTTTTTATATGAGCTAATGGACAAGTCGCTTAGAGCAGACCTGTGTCAGGAGACTGTTTATCACATGGGAAGCCCTTAATCCAATGGGAATTGTCCTTAAAGATCTAAATTATGATGAAAACACCACTCGAAGTAACAGGTCCCATCGATCACAAGTTTGGCAGCCAGAACTAGAGTTAGTAGCCAGTACATTTTCTGACCAGCTGCTTCACATATTACCATTGGTTTAAAGATAACAGTTTGGTTTTTTTTCTTTCTTGTAAAGGAAATATCTCTTTTGAGGGTAGTACACAATATATTCTAATAAATCTGGGAAAAGATTCTGGGGTGGCAGAAGTAATAATTGTAATAATGAGCATTCTGGTGTCCTTTCCAGTTTTTCAGGGCCCATAGATTCCACCTTCTGCTCTCCAGCTGAGAAATCACAAGGTGGTGCAGTGACAGTAGGGTGACTACCAGAAACCAGAGAAAGTACCAGTCACAGCTGGATGAGGACTTGGAGCAGGAATAAGGAAGTCTAAGGATTAAAGGGGAATGGGAGAATCCAAGTTTCAGATTTCTTCATCAGTTTAGATTTCTTTCATTTGAAATGTCAAGCTAAAATAAGCAACACTATCCAGAAAGTGAATGCTTCTGAAAAAGTTTCTTGTATTTCTGTCTCCTGTTAGGACAACTTGTGAAGTCACTGTGGTCGTTTTAGCCCTAGTTAAATCAGTTTTCTAGGTTATGGGAGACATAGGGTCTGGGTTGATCCAGTGAGGTTCTTATAATTCTCAGATAAGAAACATTCCAGAAATGGTCATTTGGGATATTCACCTGGTACAATGGAAATTCTAAATTGCAGTCTGAACTGGAAAGAATGGGTTTTGACAGACATTGTAAGCATCACACCACTTCTCTGAGAATTTCCTGAGAAAATGTTAAGGAGAATATCGTGGTTTTCTTCTTAAGCATGATTGTATTTCTCTTTATGTG